GATTGAACGCTGCAGGTGGTGTCTCAGTAACCTTCACCGCTATGTGGATGTGGCATCTCCTACCCTGCAGCAGGTTGGAGGGGCTCCTACATGCCTGCTCAAGCCAGAGGCAGCCCCCACAGCTTTCCTCATAATCTGGTTCAGTGAGGCTGGAGGAGACTCTGCAGATAGTTTTGATGTACACCGTGCTCCCTGATAACAGGTCAGCTTGCTTGCTAAAGGTCTTAAAACCCCGGAGAAATCCGGTTGTGTTTCACTGACCGGGGATCTGTTATCCTGCTGCAGCATCTGATCTTCGCTGGAAAGCATTTGCTTTCAGCTCCTCAGTTTCTAGACCAAAAAAAGCCCTACATGGGATGAGGAGACGGGGAAACTCTGCTATCAGCACCCGAAAGCAGTGACCATCGGGGTACAGTGAATTTACTGCAGTTTAACTCCAGGACTCGGGATTTTTCTATCCTGAAGTTTATCTGCCAAATCAAGGGGTCCTTTTAGCACGAAGAGTATTAAATCTTCCGTTGCGCTAACTGTTCAGGCCAAGTACTCCATTCACTTCCCTACCCAAGAGCTCCTGGGATTGGAAAGTGAATTTTGTTGTCCGCTGATGCAGTTTAGTTTGTCTCTAATTGCTTTAGGTTCCCCCGAATGTTACACCTCGGAGCGTTTAGGCCCTAAAGACACAGCGTTATGTGATGGGTGTGCAGGAGTAAGCCTGTATTGAGGTGTATTTCCCTTGCACTTGGGCATTTTATTCCCCATAAAGGGAGCAAATGAGATCTGAAGTGTGTGGAAAGGTCTGGTGGCAGCAACAGTTAGAAGATGCCTGGGTGGGCAAAGGAGCTCCTAGCTAACCTGTAAACTAAGTCATCGCAGCCACAGTGATCTTCAGGGGATGCACTCCAATCCTGCAAGGTTGAACCCAGAAAATGGCAAAATTTATTCAAAATACATAAAGCTTGGATTCCCTTTGTGTGCCTTTGGGTTTTGGACCTCTGGGGTTAACTTGGATCAATGGACAGGTTTAGTCCAAGCTCAGCTTCTCCCATATTAGAATAACTCTACAAGCTGGGGCATTATGAAAATACCAAATATTGTCAATTATAGTAAAAAAAAAATGACATCACTGATTAAAAAATGCTTGCAAGTTGTTTTGCTGATGCAAAAGGAGCTTAGAAAGACATTCCTCACCAGTTCTAATTTAAGTAAGCACATAATCCAGTATATAATCCTGTAAATCATTGCATGCCTGAAGGTATTTTGCATCATAATTTAAGGCAATGCAGTTGGAGCATGTTAATTTTGTCTAAATAGGCTATTTTAATGTGTTTAGGCCTTGTACGTTATACTTTATCAAAATCTGATGGGCACAACTATTTTTTCAAGAATGAGAAGTGATGATGATCTGAGGAGAAGCGATGAGCGAGTTTTTTCACTGGAATATGTTTGCACCGTTGGGCTCCTGCTTGTGTGTCGCGCTGAAGATCTGCCTGTTATTTCTTCTGCACTGTGTTCTTTTTCAGGATTAATTACTTTTAATAGTTGTGGTAACAGGAAAATTGTCCGTGCGGGTTCTCTGACCATGATAAAGGGCAGCTGCTGAGGTACAGCCAGCCTTGGGTTACAGACTGAGGGTAATGGCTTGGCAGCCTCCAAAAGTGAGCTGTGGATGCACATGGTGCCTTTTAACTCCCTGTATTTTGAGTTTATTTAGACTGAATGCTCTCCCCTGACTTGCAAGGTCCTGCTTCTGCAGATACATAATGCACATGCAAAGCTTCACCGATACGATGAGACCCAGCAAGGGCTGTGTGAGCTGAGTACGTGCATAAGGGTCTGCCAAAGCAGGGCTCGCATTCATCCAGTGCTTTTTATTCCAAAGGAAATTGTGGAAAAAGTCACTTTGCCTGCTCCAAGGCAGGTGCTTAAGTTTAAGCACATGGGTGGCCCCATTAATCCCAACAGTGGTGCTCAGCTATGGGAAGCACATGGTTGATTGCTTTGCAGGACCAGGATCCATACGCTCCCCCCAAGGCGTTTTTCCCCAGCACATGCCATGAAATCCTTGCAGCTCGGGGCGTTAAGGTCGAAGCGATAATTACAATAAGAAGTGCATATTAAAAAAATGTTGCGAATGTATTTGCACCTTGCCAGGGCAGTGAGATTATTCCTTATCCTGGGCCTTTTTGTTTGCTTTTCAGTTGCTGCGATCATGGCTGTGGGTGGGCTTCTTCTCTGCGTGCTGTTGCCTATCCGAGCCTAACATGGTCAGTGTTCCCACCCGTGCTGGCGCCTATTCCCTGTCCTCCCTCCATGTTTTCTGTGCACAGTCTGCCTCTCCCTCCCCTTTTTTGTATTGGCCTGGAAATCGCTTTCTCATCCGACCTCCGCCACTCAGCTTTGTCTATCTCAACAACTGGAAATAGCGTGACCCGAAGCAGAGTGTGTCTCCAGTAAGAGCAGGGGATCCCAGGGGGGAAAAGAACCCCCAAACCTGATACATTCTGCTGTGATCAATCCAGACACCCCACCAGAAATGTCTCGTCAAGCCAAACATCTTCATCAAATTCCGCTTCTTGCCACCAAAAGGGAACAGGGGAGGTATTTTGCTGAGGGGGCTGGTGGGACTGGAAAGGTATTTAGTGGCATGTAACGTGCATGTCAGTGAAATGAACTGTATGTCGTAGACATACGTGTCCATGTATGACATACATGGCAATGACATGGTGCTGTTGGCCAACGATATGCTCCGGTGGCTTTGGACATATCTCTGTGGGCGTTGAGAGCTGGGGTCCGTGCTGCATGCTGCCCCGTTCGGCCACCATCTGGGCTGCCTAACCGGTTTCTGCTCCCTTGTACTCTCCCCCTCTTTTCCAACGAATTAAAGGAAGAGTGATTTTAATTTCTGTGGGTTTGACTGGATGCCAGTTGAGTTGCTCCCTGGAAGGGAATGAGTTTTGGGTCTCTGAATCAGCAGAGATCTTCCTAAGCCTGCTCGGAGACTCCCGAAATCATTGTTCCCCTATCAGATCTCTGCTTGAGGCGTTGTTAAACTAGGAAGGTTTTGGTAGCTGGGCAAGGGGCATTAAGCTCTGCTGCTGTGGTTTTTGGAGGATGCTGAGGCTTTGCGTGGTGTCAGCTGGGTCATGGAGCACAGCAGTCACCAAGGTGGACCATTTTGGGGTCCTCTAGTGCTGTATTATGGCTCTGCCAGAGACCTGAACCAGGGAGGAGTTCTCAGATGCAACTCCCGAAGGCCCTAAAGCAGAAGGTTTGTTTTTTTTTCCTGGTGGAACATTTTTTAAATTGGCTTTTTCTGACTTCTGAGTGCTCAGCAAGCAAGGCTGCTCAGCACAAAGTGTTCAGCTGCAAAATGTTCTTTTGCTACGTGCAGTCGGTCCTGCAAACCACCAATTTGGTAATAATTGCACTAAAGTAAAATCTCCCAGTACTTCTGTTGTCTGTCGTGGCCGTGCCACCAGTGCACGAGCAGTCCCTTGCTGGGAGTTGTCCTTCAGATGCCCTCAGCAAGGTCCTCAACAATGGAAAATAGTGGATGCGCCTGCTTTGAGGATGCTGGGAGTGGACTGAATAGCTATGAAGAGAAACGCGTAAGGAAAACTTGGCTGACCTGGAAAACACCCTCTGCAAGTTTCCTCCTGAGCTGGGAAGAGACTAACACGGCAGCAAGCTGGGAGGGGGGAAGTGGGAAAAGAGACTTCAAGGGATGGCCGTGCTCTAGGAAGGCAGGACAACCTCCTTAGAGAGATTTATGGGGATCACGTCAGAGGGAGCTTCCTGCGAGAGGGGGGAGCGGTGTCTCATCTAAAATCTTTTTCAATTGTTCTTGCAGTGGTTTAGGAAAGCGGGGAGTCATCCAGTGCAGAGGCAGGGACAGGCTAAAAATGTCGCTGCTGGAGTTGTGACACTTCCTTTGTACGGCATCCAAGTTGACGGGAGGTCGAAGGCAGGGTCACACCGTGTAGTGGTGGCTGGGAAGCAGCTGAGAAGATGGTGAGGCTGCAGACATTGGGAAGGGAACCTGCCCTGGTTCCTCTTGGGCCAGTCTAGGGCATCTTCGAACAGGACTGAATGTCTTAGCTTGTCATCTCACGACCTTCTCTTGCTGTTTTGATCCCATTCTCCAAATTATAGGACTTAGAGGTGTGAGTGAGATTCCCAACCTGTATGGGTTGCACCAAGTTGCTCCAACTGCAAGTTTGGTCCAGTGCAATGGAAAAGTAACTCACTATAGACACCAAAAAAGCAGGAGGGAAGTGAACAGAAAAATGGGAAACAACTTCCAGTATAAAAGCTGTTTGTTTGACACCAGTCCCTTGAGTATTCCCTGGTTTTGCGCTGCTGAATATATTCTGGGTTTGCAAACAGCCAAGGCGAATGCTGAACCATGGACCAGCATCACTAGAGTATCAGCAATCAGCAATCTCAGTATCAGCATTGTTTATCCAGGATAAAAGTATTTGCTGAACAAGTTATTGTCTCCACGCTTGAGTGGAGGTAATGGGATCTTGGCCAGATGGATGGAGCCCCATTTGTTTGTTCCTCTGGGTGGGACGCAGTCCTGCCCTGCAACACGTATGCAGCATTATTGCTTTAACATCTTGGAATAAATAGTCTGAAATGAGTGCTAACCCCTTGTAAACAGCCACCCTGAGGTTCTCGTAGGCCTCCTGTAAAAATCCCAGCTGGAGGTGGGTTGGATGCATTCCTCAAAAGTGATTTATAGTGCAAGGTGCGCTTCTGAGTGAAGGTCTGACCCCTGAAAAGCAAGTGGCATTTTGTCACTGTGTCAGAGAAGCGCCGAGAGTTCATTTGTCTCATATTTAAGAAATTAAGTAGATAGATAAATCTCTGCAGGACCGGGACAGGAGATCGCATGCTGCTTCAAGGCATGAGCTGTTTGATGGTGCTGGCTGCACCTGGCAAGGGGAGGTCCCTTGCCTCAGCGGGGACTTCTAAATGGTGTCCCCATGTGTGTCTCCAGTAACACCATGGCTGGAAATGCGCAGTGCTGTTCCTATAAAAAATGGAATATAAAGACTCCCCACATCCCTGCCTAGGGCTTGGGTGTCCAGGGTCCAGCTCCATTTAGAGACGATCCCTATGGTATCCTGGGCTGTGACCAGAGTGGTGGCCCCAGATAGGGAGATGGAAACTTGTCCCTTGGGCGTTCTGTGGTTTTGAGGGGTATCCTGGGTGGCCGAGGGGCCACACACCCAGCAAGGGCAACCCAAAGCACAGGGTTGAACACAAAGTATCTCCATGGGTCCAGAGCATCTCCCTACCTTGTTTCTTGAAGGATTTTTCTTGGTGAATTGGCTTCTGCCGTGCAAGGCAATGGGCATCGGTTTCCCAGCTGGATTCTTCATCTTTCTACCTGCCCATTTTATATTTTATAAACCTATATAGGGATCATTTTACAACTTCACTTTTATAATCTGCCCCATAAATGTTTTATGAGCTGCCTGCCAATCTGCAAGTAGTTTTTAAATAAGACATGATGCCTTAAGAATATTTAAAGTCTCACTTCTTTTTTTTTCCCCCCTCTGATACTTTTATTGAAAAACACAGAGCCATGCAAGGAAGACACCTGCTTTCTAGATACAGAAACTGGGACAAATCCACAACAGGAGTAAATGAGTTGAGATTCAGGTGTGCTGCTGAATTACGTTAACTCTTTGACTGAGCGTCTCCGGCTCAGTGGGAGATGAAGCGAGCGTCAGGATCTTTATACTTCTGCTGTACGTGATATAGGAAAGATAGGAGAAATCTATGGTTTGTACAATGACAATAAACTGGAGAATAAGTCTTCCATCAAGAGACTTTTTACTTGCAGCTTTTCCAATAAAAATTAAACGCAAGCAGAAATGGATTATTTCACAAAGAAGTGGGAGCTTTATCTTGCAAAAATGTATTACAAAGCCTGAATATTTCGATACTTTTATCTGCCAGGAAGATTCACATAGTGAATCAGAACCATTAACGTGAAATAGCAGATTTCTGTGGGATTTAGCTGAGGAAGAAGGGAGAAAAAAACCTGCTTGTGTGTGTTATTGAAAGCATCGGAAGGACGAGAAGGGAAGGTGTCCCTGGTCTTGGTAGTTTAGGAAAGAGCACGTACAGAGGGCACAAACGATGGCCAAGGGCAGGTTTTGCAGTGAGCTCCATTAGTGATCCCCAACTGTTGCTTCAGAGTCTCAGACCTCTCACTGCAATTTTGTTTTAATGATGCTTTGGGGATCCCAGAGCCTAATTTCATATGCTAAGGTGATGTGGTGCTGTATGGGTCACCCAGCTTGAGACAGGGGGTGCAGCCAAAGCCGACTGCTTTGCATTGGCCCTTTGAGCGTGTCCTTGGGCAGGAAAATGCTCACCCTTACCCATCGAGGTGTGCTTGGATCAAGGGCTCAGGTGATGGCAGGTTCCCTGTCTGTCTGTCCTCCCTCTTTACAATTAAAGCATCAGGAGATGTGGTTTGTAAAAGTGTTAGAAAAGCTCATTTATAGGTGAAGTACTCCAAGCTGAGGAGGAGACCAGGGCATTTGCTTTAAAAGGTGAACAGAAGAAATCTTGTATGTGCAATTGGTAGAAGGCTGAATTTGTGTATTTTTCAGAGGAAATTTGAGGTTTGAATCCGTGCCTTGAATGCCCCTTCACACACAGACACCCCAATCCAGCAAATTACCTCTGCAGAAAACTGAATTAATTTCTGGCAACTTGAAGCAGGAAAGAAATGAGGGTTGCCAGAAGTGGAATTGATGCTGATACTTGTACCTCCAGGTTTTATACTTATTTTATACTTAAAGGGGGGGCAGCATGATGAAGGAGAGGAATCCATTTTCACCCAGGGTTTGTAAACACCCAAACGTGCTTTGAAATGATCCAAGGTCTCCAGGTACACCCAGTGCTTAAATTTTGAGTTAATTAGGCAGGACCTCATTTTGGGCGATGGCTGCAGCAAGGGGATGATCTCTGCTGCAAGCACCACCATGGGGATAACCGAGCCGTGTCCCCAGGCACCTCATTGTTGCTTTGCTGGGTATTGCATTTGGAATGTGATGGTCTCTGCTTGGTTGCTGCTGCTGAAATCACGCCCTGCATGGATGGCCTGGCTGTTTATTGAGTGCAACCCATTTATTGGCCCTGTCATCTCCTTGCTTGTCCCCCTGGACCGCCTGTGAGCCTCCCCCCTTCTCTTCTGCACCTTGTATTGATCCATTCTCCTCTGCTTGCATGACCTCTGCGGTCTTTTTTTCTCCCTCATCCTCCCCTTGGCACACATCTTCCACCTTCTCCCCCAGATAAGCTCATGTTCCCTCTCCCCTTCCTGGGAGAAAACCCTGGGAGCTTGCATTGCTTTTGCCCTTCCTCACCCTCCGGTGTCCAGCCCTGCTGGGGACGGCTCAACGGCGGTGCCTGCGTCTCATCATTTTGGGGATTTTGTTTGTAATTGTGATTGTTTCCTGAATCTGGTGCCAAAATCCTATAGCCAAAAGGCTGCTTGGCCCCTCGCAACCAGGCAGGCAGCAGTTCCCTGTAATAGGACTTCACGCTGAGGGCATGTTTCATGCAGATGCCTATTGCTGCCTCTTCCTAATTGCAGTTTTGTTTCTGCTAATCATACGCTCT